CCGATGACAGCAACCGGCCCCCCACCTTGGTCTGGCCCCCCCGCTGACATGCTCCACCATCCAGCCATGGCTGACGCCCGCCATGCTCCACACATGCCCCCTGGTGGTCAGCACACATCATAGCGACCAGTTGTCCCACCATTCGGTTTATTTGCATATTAAGGTTTTATATATATAGATAGCTTGTATCTTATTATGAGATATTCTTTTAAAAATATTAACTATTACAATTTTATATCTGAAAGGAACCCCAAAATGTCATTTCTCCATCTCCCTTACCTAGAGAAAAGATTAAACTTCACAAGACAAAACATTATCTTTCATTGTCATTACTAAAACATGTTTAATCAAAACAGATATTAGTTTTGCCAAGGTCATTCATATTTCTTTTCTGAACTTATGAGGTGACAGAAAATGAAATTAAGAAAGAGGTCAATAAGTTGGGTAGATGGACAAGTCAAATATAGTAAACTAGAGGTCGGGTGCACAAAAATGTGTGCACTTGGGAGGGTCCCTCAGCCCAGCCTGTGCCCTCTTGCAGTCTTGGACACCTCAGGGAATGACCACCTGCTGGCTTAGGCCTGCTCTCCAGGGGACTGGGCCTAAGCTGGCAGTCAGACATCCCTCTGGAAGGCCAGGAGCCCTTGGGGGATGTCCACTTGCCAGCGGGGAGCAGGCCTAAGCTGCAGTCGGACATCCTTCACGCTGCTGAGGAGGCAGGAGAGGCTCCCACCACCACCACTATACTGGCAGCCATCAGCCTGGCTTGGGGCTGAGCAGAGCTCCCCCTGTGGGAGCACACTGACCACCAGGGGACAGCTCCTGCATTGGGCGTCTGCCCCCTGGTGGTCAATGTGTGTCATGGTGACCAGTCATTCCCAGTCACTCTGTTGTTAGGGTCAATTTGCATATTACCCTTTTATTATATAGGATAGAGGCCTGGTGTATGGGTGGGGGCTGGCTGGTTTGCCCTGAAGGGTGTCCCAGATCAGGGTGGGGGGTCCTGCTGGGGTGCCTGGCCAGCCTGGGTGAGGGCAGAGGGCCATTTTCAGGCTGTCCAAGTCCCCCAGTGGGGACCATCATGCCATGAGGGTGTGGCCATCCTGGGTGAGGGGCTGATGAGTGTTTTCAGGCTGGCCAAGCCCCCCAGCAGGGACCCTTACCCCAGGAGGGTGTGGCCATCCTCGGTGAGGGGCTGAGGGCCGTTTGCAGGCTGGCCACAGCCCCTTCAGGGTGGGGGTCCCCCCTGGGTGCCTGGCCAGCCTGGGTGAGGGGCTGATGGCTGTTTGAAGGCTGTTTGCCAGCTGGCCACAGCCCCCAGCCACCCAAGATCCCAGTGGAGGCTGGCTGGAAGCAGGTATCTGGGATTTATTTAGCTTCTATAATTGAAACTTTGTTGCCTTTTGCGCAGGCCACAGCCAGCCAGGGCAGGCAGGAAGCTTGGCTTCCTCCACCACCAGGGCAACCAAGCCTCCTGCTTGCTCCAGCTCTGTGGCTGCCGGCCACCATCTTTGTTGGGTTAATTTGCATATAGTCGCTCTGATTGGCTGGTGGGTGTGGCTTTGGCATAGTGAAGGTACAGTAATTAGCATCTTTGTCTTTTATTAGTGTAGATATTTTAAAGACTACTGACTGCTCAAGTCATTCGTTTAGAACAGGGGTCCTCAAACTACGGCCCGCGGGCCACATGCAAATACAAATATTGTATTTGTTCCTGTTTTGTTTTTTTACTTAAAAATAAGCTATGTGCAGTGTGCATAGGAATTTGTTCATAGTTTTTTTAAAAAATATAGTCCAGCCCTCCAATGGTCTGAGGGACACTGAACTGGCCCCCTGTTTAAAAAGTTTGAGGACCCCTGGTTTAGAACAATTCACTCAGATGCCTAATCCACACCCATCTTCCTTCTTGGTTATTACTAATACTATATAATAAAAGGCTAATATGCAAATTGTCCCCTCTGGAGTTCAACAGGGAGACCAGGAGTTTGATTGCTCACTATGATGTGCACTGAACACCAGGCGGTGGCATGAAACATGGCGGGTGACCATGGGCAGCAGCAGGGTGCTGAGGGAGCGAGGGAAGGAGGAGGAGGGGAGGCCCGGAGACTGGGAACCTGATTGGCCCTGATCGCCAGGCCTATAAAATTTCATGCACCAGACCTCTAGTGTCTTATAAAATGGAAACAAAATTTCTGCTTTTGATTCATTTCCCTAAGGCCTATCTTTCATCTAAAAAGCACATACTTATAAAAAAGAGAAATTAAGCTAAATTGATTGAATTGGATCCCATAAAACCATTCTCATTACTACCCAGGATCTTGGCTCTTTTGGCTTTTAAGTAGTCAATCAATTGATTTTCAGTCTCTTAAAAGCTTAAAAGATAACTTGAAATATATATTTTTCAGAATGTTCTTTATTCTATGAGCATACTGTTATGTCACTCTCTCATCTTCGGCATGCCTTCCATCTTCCAGCACACAATAAGCAATAGTTTTGTGTCCATTATCCTTAGGCAGGCCACAAAGAGCAAAACTCCTATATTTCACCAAACCTAAAATCTCCATAAAATGTAAATCCCATTATTGTTTATATATCACTTAAAAAAACTCTTGCCAATTTAAATGATGCAATGCTTTCTTATTCATTAGCTTATGGCTTTTTAAAAAACTCTTGCAGACACAGACATATTTGCTTCACATTCCTATTTGAACCAAACAACCTGCCTTCCTAGTTCTTTGTCAAAAGGTAAGGTTTTCATTAAAGATATACAATGTATGGTGCTAAGAAAATACAGAATAAATAGAAACCTAATAACACCAGCAAAACAAACAAAAACATTTTGTTAGAATTTGAAAATAAATGTAGTTAAAGCAACTACTACTATTTCTCAAAAGCAAAGCAGTTGCTTAAATGAACACATGCCTCTTTCTAACAAAAAATGTGCTTAATTCAGAATATTTTATGAAAAAAAGCATGAATGAATATTTAGCTACAAAATTTTAAATCATCACCAAATGCACACGTGACTTTTAAGCTTTACTAACTGCATTGCTATCCTCTGTAATTATTTTGTAGGACTAACTTTCCATGATATTTTATTGATATTTGGAGGTAATTGTTGCTTAAAACATTTAAATATTGTCAGTGAGGAAGGAAGGAAGGGAGGGAGGGAGGGAGGAGGGAGGGAGGGAGGGAGGGAGGGAGGATTATTCATAAGATAAAGCATTCAAGTTCACATTCTGCCATTCTGAAGGTAGGTAGGGCTAGGTCAAAAAAAGGAACCACCAAAAAAATTAGATTTTATTAGGAGTTTATTTTGTGGGTGATCCCTGGATGAGGCATTTAAAAATCTAGAGCAGCATTTTACTCTGACACTATGTGACCATGTTAGCTTAGTTCAGTCTTTGAATTCTCTTAGTATGTTTCTTCAACTGGAAAATGCAGCATTGGATTCAATCTTTAAAAGAGATTTTTTAAAAGATCATCTGTGCCTTAGCCGGTTTGACTTAGTGGATAGAACATTGGCCTGCGGACCAAAGGGTCCTGGGTTCAATTCCAGTCAAGGGCCTGTACCTGGGTTGCAGGCCCTGGTCAGAGTGTGCAGGAGGCAACCAAGTGTGAGAAATATCTCACATCAATATTTCTCTCTCTGTCTTTTCCTCTCTCTTCCATTCTAAAAAAAAAAAAATCAGTGGAAAAATATCCTCAAGTGGGGATTAAAAAAAAAAAGGTCGTCTATGATATAAACTAAATATACAAATACTGATCTGACACAGTGACCTGAGAACTCTTGTTGAAGGTTGTTTATGATAGTTTCTTGGAAAAATCACTATTGCCTTTGTACTTGGGAATTTTCTTTTTAAGGAAGAAAACAAAAAAGCTTAGACTTCAGTTGTATGTATAGTATGAAAGAGAACGTGAACCCTCTCTTAATTATCATGACATCTTTCAAATGAACAAATATCCCTAAAGACAAGGGGACCATGTTGATAAACAGTAGACATATTTAGAGTCAGCCTTGCTCAGAGTACAGTGGCTTTCTTAATCAGCACACTGACTTCCTTCACTATCTCTGAAGCACCTAGCATCTTCTTACCTTCTTTACCCAAGTTGTTAGAGCTGACATGAAGGCCAAGAACTACAGAACAAAAGAAAAATCCCCCTTATTCTTCCCCTTAACTCTTTTCTACCATTTTATGAATTGAGGAATCTACCCACCAGCCATCAATGTCAATCATCTTTTGGAATCTTGATATATATGCTGCTGGCTAACCAATTTACCTGCCATTACTTTTCAGCCCCTGAGTTTTGAAAGCAAGAAAAGCTATACCTTAAAAGTGGAGGGAGCCAATCCTCACCTAGAGATGCGGTTTCTGAACCTGGGCCCCTTTCAGGACACAACCACAGTGCACATCAGTGTGGAAGATGTGGATGAGCCCCCTGTATTTGAACCTGGCTTTTATTTTGTGGAGGTACCTGAAGATGTGACTATTGGAACAACCATACAGATCATTTCTGCCAAGGACCCAGATGTGACCAACAACTCAATAAGGTTTTGCCACAGATTATACCTTTCATGGAATCTTCCCTTCCCCAGCATCAAATTTCCTAACACTTTTCCCATTTGCTTTTTCTATCTCTGGAGACTCTCCTGATTCTTTAAATTCGTTCTGTTTAAATAACATAGTCTTTTCATGTTTAGAAGTGAAGTATCATATCTACAACTTAAGTGTCAAATGGTTCAGCAACACGCGTGCGAGTGCGCGCGCGCGTGCACACACACACACACACACACACACACATACACACACACCCCTTAGTTCTCAATCCTAGCCCTACTGACATTTTGGGATGGATAATTGTTTGTCATGGGGCTGCCCTGTGCATTGTACAATGTTTAGCAGCATCTCTGGCCTCTCACCACCAAATGCCAGTAGCACCCTGAGTTGTAACAACTTAAAACGTCCCCAGATATTGCCAAATGTCCCTGAGGAGAGTGGGGTACAAAATTTTCCCAAGTTGAGAATTACTAATTCAGATAAAGCACATACAGATACACAGGTGTCAAAACATTAAAAACTGTTGAATCTTAGTGGTGATTATAAAGGTAATCATTGCACATTCTTTTGACTTTGATGAACCTTTGACTTTTTTACTTTAAAAAATGAGAAAAAAATAACGTATACGATATATATTTCCATATACAATAGAAAAAAACACACATAGAAACTATTAGTGTTGTCATTGGTTTCAATGCCATGTAGACTGGTCAGATAGGGCTTTCTACTGCAAGCCCACGTGTCCGTCTCTCCAAAATGTGGTTTGAACTTAAAAATTCCAACCAAGATGCTTCCCCCTCAAGAAGGGGCAGGACAGGAGAGCTGCTCTTACAGTCATGGCCATTTCCCAACAACTCTGTAGCCAAAGTGCAAACAGCTGGTGGACAGGTTGACACCTCAACCTTCCAGATCAACTGCCAAGCCTCTGAAGCGTGACACAAAAGATCAGGATTCCAAAGCCATTTGAGGCCACCTGTCATGTTAAATGTTGGGAAGTCACACAAATGGATCTGAGGCTTTATAGTGCAGATAACACATTTTAAACACTCCCTAATGTATTGAATGCTTTTTCTGTCAGCTACTTCCCTCACCTGGTACTATTTTATATAAAAAGAAAATGTGTTTTTGCAGCTTAACAAAGATGTTTCTCCCCTGAGAATAACTATACTGGGGGAAATTTGCTTCCTCTAACCAATTAGTAAACAATTTATATTTTTAGGCATTAAAATGGCTAAAACAATTTTTTGGAATTATGGTATTTGATTTTTAGAAGTAAACTAATATTTATGAGTTATAACAACTTCATATGAGTGATATTTCTACCTAAAGCTTTTAAAATGTACAATAGGATGGAAAGAAGTTAGTGAAACCATGTCATCCCCAAAACAAGCATAATATAAATGAAACTGATTCTATTATAAATGCATATTTTCACAAGCCAAATACATATATATATACACACATACATATATATGTCTTCTGATCAATTAATCTACTCATATCAAAGAAGATACTATAGGGAAAACTTTAGAGAATAAAACTTTATTGGGGGAGGGGATTGGAATAAACACAAGCTTGAAAAAAATCAGATCTCATTACTAAGAGTCAACTAGACTACTCAGTGGATAATTCCACATGTTCTTTCCAGATTGACTCTGGACTCTTACATGGTAAGCACTGGAAATATGGTTTTGTTAGGAATCACATTCCTAAATGACAAGAGACTGAATGATGTCAGGAAATACACACATGCACAAATCCAAAGTGAAAGTACATTTTTCAGGACTAAAGTTGTTATCTCAAGACATCTAGGAAGGAAAGAGAAACAGCAGGCCTAGATCCACTAACTGGCATGGAGCAAATGAGGTACAAAATGAAGGAATCCTACCTGGCTAACAGAGTGCTGCTTCACATGATGGACCACTGAGAGCCACCCGTTGGCCAGCATGACACACACACAGTTAATATCATGGCAGTCCATAATGAAATGCCTGTCTATTCTAACAGATCCCAACCAGAAGAAATACAAGAGTCACCAGGCTAGAGGCACAGAGCAAAGTCCACTGAGCTTCTTCTGTGGTGGGACTCTAGGTCTTGAGAGAGAAACTGGCAAGAACAAGGCAACAGCCATAGGCTTGAGGTTAATAGACAAGGGTTCAGGCACAGCAGCAAAGCAGATTCCACTTATCAGAACCAGTTGCAAAGAAGGGGCAGAGTTCATATTGCTAGATAGAGGGTCCCTGACTCTTTGTACTATCCCCCAGGAACAAAGAATGGTCATGGACCCAAGCAGAAAATCAAGGGTCCGGGACTCTCATAGGGAAAAGCACCTAAAAGTCTATTATCTGGCTATCATTTAATTAAACCATTTGGGAATCACTTTCCTATGTTATCTTTCCCCAAATTGTTCATTTATTCTTATTTTTCTTATAGAAGTTATCTTGTTTTGAAATAATTTGCAAATGTTATCTGCTGCTTGGCTATCTAATTCATCTTCTGCATTTTTATTACAAACTAGAGGCCTGGTGCACGAATTTGTGCAGTGGGATCCCTCGGCCTGGCCTGTGGGTTTGGGCCAAAAACAGCTCTCTGACATCCCTGAGGGGTCCTGGATTGCTAGAGGGTACAGGCCAGGCAGAGGGACCCCACTGGTGCACAATCAGGGCTGGGGAGGGATACGGGATGTTGGCTTGCCGGGGAGGGATCGCAGGAGGGCTCCAGGCGTGTCCGGCCTGTCTCGCTCAGTCACGATCAGCCGGACCCCAGCAGCAAGCTAACCTACTGGCTGGAGCGTCTGCTCCCTGGTGGTCAGTGCATGTCACAGCGAGCGGTTGAGCAGCTTTAGCATATCATTAGCATATTATGCTTTGATTGGTTGAATGGACGACTGGACACTTAGCATATTAGGCTTTTATTATATAGGATAGATTATATTTATAGTCCTAAAAAGAAAATATATATTAAATTACCCAAAAACCAACATATTACCTAAGGTTTAAATATTATGAACAAATAGCTATTTAACTTTTTTAAAAGATTATTAGGGCTTTTATAATCTCCTTCTGAAGAAGCTTGTGGTGTGTTCAGGCATTATTTACTAATAATAAATAATGGTCATTATTTATAAACTGGTCATTATTTACTAATAAACCCCCAAACTAGACTACACATTTAGTTAAATGTACATGAAAAATACAATATTTGGATTTCCTGAGATTTCAGTAATTGCTCAAGAAATTTCTGGCAAGCAGGAAATTGAACCATTTGCAACTGAAATAGGCTTCTGCTGTGTGAGAACAGCCAGCCCTCCAGTGCCATCCTGGAGTGTGTGTGGATTAGTGAGCCTGCCCATGATTCCCTGCCTCCAACCTGCTTCCAAATCCAGTGAATGTCCTGAGCCAAGCAAGAAAGCAGAGAGCCCAAAGAACACCAGTCATTGTTTGCTCAAGAGAGTTGTGTATATGTACATGGTGCTCATTCTTCCCATAATAGGTGAGAATATTATGATTGGAGAAAGGAAAACCACCTGCATAATTCACTAGTGTGTCCCAACTTCCTCATTTTCCATCTGTATCTACACCTTTTGTTTGTTCTCCTGTCTCCTGAAATTTAGCCCAGTGTCATGTTCAGAGTTATGGATGCCATCATGCCATCACTGCCTCAATTCAGGCAGGGTTGGGGAAGTCGGGAAGGGACTACCTTGCTGAGGTAGCTTCCACTCAGAGTGTCATGAAGCAGGACTGCCATGGGCTCTTTCTGTTATTTCCGCCACTCCATCTCCCACACCATCTGTGACATCTGCCAGGGCTTCATAAGTCTAAGTGCAGAAAGCTGGTCACCAGAGGCTGTTCTCCCTGGGCATCATGCCTACAGCCTGGAGAGCTGCCATCAGGGCTGTGGCTCTGTGAGCCAAATGGCTGCTTTACTCACGTGTGGGAAGTGAAAAGACTGTCATGAGCCAATCAATATTTTTTTCATAAGACAAATTCAACTCTTAAAATAGCTGGTAAACCTTATTTTTTTTAATATATATTTATTGAATTTCAGAGAGACAGGAAGGGAAAGGGATAGACAGACAGAAACATCAATGAGAGAGGAAGTCATCAATTGGCTGCCTCTTACACAGCCCCCACTGGGGATTGAGCCTGCAACCTGGGCGTGTGCCCTGACCAGGAATCGAACCAATGACCTCTTGGTTCCTGGTCGAAGCTCAACCACTGAGCCACGCTGGCCGGGCTAAGTTGATAATTTTGTGTGGCCTGGGGTGACATCTGCCAGGGCTTCATAAGTCTAAGTGCAGAAAGCTGGTCATCAGAGGCTGTTCTCCCTGGGCATCATGCCTACAGCCTGGAGAGCTGCCATCAGGGCTGTGGCTCTGTGAGCCAAATGGCTGCTTTACTCACGTGTGGGAAGTGAAAAGACTGTCATGAGCCAATCAATATTTTTTTCATAAGACAAATTCAACTCTTAAAATAGCTGGTAAACCTTATTTTTTTTAATATATATTTATTGAATTTCAGAGAGACAGGAAGGGAAAGGGATAGACAGACAGAAACATCAATGAGAGAGGAAGTCATCAATTGGCTGCCTCTTACACAGCCCCCACTGGGGATTGAGCCTGCAACCTGGGCGTGTGCCCTGACCAGGAATCGAACCAATGACCTCTTGGTTCCTTGGTTGACACTCAACCACTGAACCATACCAGCCTGGCAAACTGGTAAACTTTAAAACTAAATTACTAATTATACCTAGAAAAAAATGCTCCAGTTAATTTTAAATGAATTTTGTAGGCATGTGTTTGTTCTTTATTAAAAAGTCAATTGTTTCCTATCATGGCTTAATCTATCCTCAAGAATAGATCAGGTTTTGTTTCCTCAAACAGTATCATTAGTTTCATGTGCAGGAAGGCAGCATGGCCTGGTAGTTAGGAGCAGGAACCTGAAACTCAACTGCCTACTCTTGATTCCCAGCTGTGAGACCTAGGACAAGGGACTTAACCTCTCCAGGTCTCAGTCTTCTCACCTGTAAAATGGGGATGATAATATTACCTACCTCATAGGGTTACTGTAAGGATTAAATGAGTCAATATAAGTAAAGTGTATAGAGTGAATGCCTGACTACAATAGCATTCATTAAATAGGGTCACAAGCAGAAAAAGATGTTAATTTGCTTCCTTAAATCTCCCAATTCTTGGACAGCTATAACTGAAATGATTCCAACTTCTCTAGCTCTTAGTGGCCACCTTTCCCTTTAATTCATAATTCTCTGAACAGGCATCCTGCAGGAAAAAATACATATTTGAACCACAACATTTTACCAAATAATACATACACATGCATATTCCATATACTTATTTACATATATTTGGGACAAAAGTCTGACGATCAACATTTACTCTTATTACATGTGAGAGTATGGGATGCATGCATATTATTTCATTTTCTTTTAACACGAGTCATAATCCACCATATTAACTTAACTAACCTGCAGTCTGAAAAACAATGCACTAAAGAAACTGCTTATTCCCATCAAAATTCAGTTTCCTAGTTACCCTATTGCTGGCAACTTTAAATAGAATTTTGAACCCAATACATTAGTGTGTGTGTGTGTGTGTTTTCAAGTCTTACTTCTACAAATTACCAACTGTGTAACTGTCTGAAAATTACTTAACTTTTTAAAGTCTTAGTTTTCTCTAATAAGTGAAATAATACCTACCTCCTAGAGATGTAAGAATTTAAAAAAGAAGCTATAAAATGCCTCGCCTTCAATAATGGCAGCTATTATAATGGCAGCTATTAGCAAGGACTACATTAGGTTCTCAGGGACGGATCTCAAACATGGCTACATACCACAATCTCTTATGAGGATTTTAAACATACAGATGCCTGAAACTCCCTCCACACTTACTGAATCTCCCAAAATTGGGACCTACTAAGATGATGCAGGTGAGATAACAAAAGGAGTTGGGCTGCCAAATCATTTTCAACAGGAATTATAGAACTTACCCAGTAGCAAGGTAAATAAATAATTACTCAAAGGATACAGACAACAGCAAAATGCAAGCCAAGCATTCTTTCTTTGGAAAGGTCTGAAACCATCAGGCACAAGTGCCTATAAATATCCTTCTTTTTCAGTGTAAGGATACATGTTGATCCACACTGAACACGAAAGGTATAAGCAATGAATGTTGCTATTCAGTGCACTGCCTGAACAGGAGCAGCCATCTTGGTTAAGAAACATCTGTTTTTTAGATCCCATTAATTACATAACTCACATGATATTTTCCAGCAAGCCGTGCCCCATAAATTCATAAATTCCAGGCTTACTTACAATAAGCAACCTAAACAGACCTGATCTTTCCTGTTAAAAACATTCCACAGGTAAAGACTCTTCAGTGAGTAAATAGATTATTGTGTTTGCCAACAGGTCAGTCATTAGCACGTTTATAAAGGACCTGATGAAAATCTCTTCTTTTCAATAGTTGATATTAATTACAGGGAATCGAATCACTGAACTATATGTTTTCCAGCTCCAATTTAGCATTTCAGAACTTATTTGAATAAAATTCATTTTGAACAAATATACACAGGGGCTGTTATTCAGAGTGTCCCAAAAAGCCTTGGGCAGTTCTCAGCTTTAAATAGCTGAAATTGATCTTTAAATAGCTTACAGCTGCCCTAAGGTTTAGCACCCCATTCTATTTCACTTTGTCAATCAGGAAATTAAAGCAGTAATAGTTTTTTGTGGCTTTTTTACTGTGGGGAGAGGAGGGGTTGGGGAGGGCAGTACATAATAAAACAGTAAATTCAGTCTTCCAAGTGTCTTCCACTTCAGAACTAATGGCTTCATGTTTCACATGATACTCACTCAGCTCTCTCATGTAATATGCTGTAGTATATCTATCCAAATGCAATGATGTGTTTAATCTGTGGGGGTTTTTTGCAGATATTCCATTGACAGAAACAGTGACCCTGGAAGATTCTTCTATGTCGACATTACAACAGGTGCCCTAATGACCGCAAGACCCCTTGACCGGGAAGAGTTTTCTTGGCATAATATCACTATCCTGGCTATGGAAATGAGTAAGTAACACAATAAATCAGCCTCTATATAGTGACAAATATAAGCAATGTAGAATGTGGAAGCTTCTATAGCTGTTGGAATAAGAACTGTATTGTACCAGTTAATAATGCGGATTTTTTTCAATAGATGGAGTTACACATATGTTGATACATATGCGATTTGATATGTATGCTATTTTGTTGTATTGACAGCAAACTTCAAAACTTCGTATGTCAAATTTGCTGAAGGGGTTAACATCATAGATATTTTTACACTTAAAAATGTCGAATTTCGTGCCAAAAAAGAAAGAG